TTACACAAGAAAAATCAACAATCTCTGCTTTACAAGAAATAACTAAATTAAGTCTTCAGAAAAGAGAAACAGAAAATACGGCAATAGTAACAATGGACATCAGCGGAGCTTTCGACAACGCATGGCATCCGGCAATTCTCCAACAATTGGACAAGGCAAATTTTCCAGCGGTACTTATAAAAATAATTAATTCTTACTTTGAAAATTATATAGTATAGGCAAATTTTCCAGGGGTACTTATAAAAATAATTAATTCTTACTTTGAAGACCGGAATGTAGAGTTTAAATATACTAATGTAAAGTGTATAAGAAAGATAAATAAGGGATGTCCCCAGGGTGGTATTATTTCTCCTATTCTTTGGAATATATTACTTAATGATTTCAATTTATCTTTTAGCGAAAGTTTTGCTAGAGTAATTGCTTTCGCGGATGATGTGACATTTGTGGTATGGAGTTCAAACATTTATGATCTTCAGTACAATATTACCAAATGTTTAATAAAAATCAAAGCCTGGTGTGAAAAGGTAAAACTTTCACTTAGTCCTTACAAAACAGGTATACTCTATCTACATAACTATGAAAAATTGCCCATTAATTTTGATGGAAAAATAATTCAACCATCTGAAACTAAAAATTTTGGGAGTCATTTTTAAAAATCATAGACAAAGGAATAAGATTAATTTTGAAACACACGTTGATAATATAATTATGAAAGATACGAAACTTAAGAATATATTATTCTCATTATGTGCACGTACTTGGGGCATTGATACTCGGCGTAGATTGATCTTATATAAAGCTATGATACGCTCTACAATAAGCTATGCATCAAATATTTGGTTTCCTCTTATCACTGCAGCAAAAGAACTAAGTTGAATTCTATACAATATCAAATTCTTATTAGATGCATTCATGCTTATAGGACTTCATCTTCTTACATCACACATATACTAGCGAAAACTCCTTTACTGTCCAATTATCTTGAATTATCACAAACAAAGTATAAATGACAAATTCTCTCACAGATCAAACACTCAAAAAACCCCTTCAAAAAGAATTAAATAAACTATATCTGGATCTAAAATTTAAGTTTTATCTTTCTCAATCTAATGAACTGTTCAAGAAATTCTTTCCAATTGCTGTCCCAAATTTCATTTCTTCTGATAAATTCACTACTTTATTCTTAACAGGCAAAGGACCCTTCTTAAGTTTCCTATTCAAACTGAATGTGATCAATGATCCAACATGTGAATGCCGCTTAGATATCGAATCAACAGAGCATCTTCTTTTAACTTGCCCTCTGACTAATCAAATTGTATGCAAATACTTTGAAACATTACCAAATTGTCTTAGTGTATATACTCAATCACATGAGAACTTTGTTAAGTTTAGAACTATTTGTACAATAATTTACAAAACAATACTAATCCATCGTGTAAATAATTAATCATATATATGTAAATAATACTAGCACAGCACAATAGTCCTTTGGACTTCGTGCTTTTTGTAATCAATAAAATAAAATAAAATTATTAAGATTTGTTAAGTTAATATATCAAATAGTGAAAGGCCCCTGTTTCAAAGTAGAATTCTAAAAGCAGTCGCCTACTTCTAGCCTGCAACACGTGTACTAGGGATAAACAAAAAAAAAAAAAAAGAAATTACCAACTGTGTAGGCTTTTTTTTTCTCCAGATGGGTTATCTTTTGACTTCACGGTAGTTTTGTTTGGGGCGACGTCGTTGGTCGAACTTTTACTTCTGTTCTGAGGACTTCACGGCAATCCGTCGTTAAAGGCTGACTTTCGAGATAGCTCCAATGTTTAAACAACAAGTTCAATATGATCTGTTAATCTTTATCTAGGTCACCTATTTGTACCTCTATCCTGTAAAATTTGCTTATCCAGTCCTCTTCGAGTAATGTTTCTGCAATATTTGAGACATCTTGTCTCAATTATGTTAATGAGAAAACTTGGCTATGCTAAATTTGGGAATATTGGTTGACTAGCATATCCTCGAATTCTTAGTTACCTCTTATCCCAGGTCTCTGACTCCTTGTTATTTCTACCTACAGTAAAACTGTTTGTTATAAATCAATGTTTTTACAAGCCAGGCAGCCAAACAACGGGGGGGAAAGTGAGAATGATAGAGAATGGGCAAAGGGCTAATTGGCCATTCTAACTACTGTCGTGGCGACGCCGCAGGTGCGCGTGACATCAAGAGCTGTCAGCTGAATGGAGGGAGGGGAGAGAGAGGGGAGGGGAGAGGGGCTTGCTTGTGTCTTCTGCCAAGGTCATGGACGTAAGCAACGGAAATAGATCGGTGCGTTACGTCTCAGGTAACAGAGCCCCGCATGTCGACTTGCTACTTCTGTACCTACACTGAAGATACCGTATTACGTATCACAGAAAGGATGTTTCTTTCAAAATGGTTATATTTTAAAATGACAATGAATCTATTTTAGCCATCGGCGGTATTGTTCGGCGGTACATATACTAAAATTGGAACGATACAGAGAAGATTAGCATGGCACCTGTGATACTTGTTCAGCGGTACATATACTAAAATTGGAACGATACAAAGAAGATTAACATGACCCTGCGCAACGATGACACGCAAAATCGTGAAGTGTTCCATTTTAACTATCTGTTGTGATGACAATGCCCTAACATGTCATGATAGATGCAAGTTATATATCTAAATTTCATTAATTTATCGATATTTTGATTAGAAAAACGCCGATATTATTCACGATACAGTAGCATGTTTATTTTGTGTGCCTATTTTCAGGAATTCAGTGAAATATATTAAATAAATTTGACCAATGACAAACTTTGTGAATGTAGTCATATCATTACGTGCCAGCCTGTTCATTTTAATATAACAGAAGACTATATTTGTAAAGATAGAGTCGTTTAATGATAAAAAGCTTTACTTGTATCAAAAATGGAAATATTTTATTGATATCTTTTGATATTTCGACAAGGATGACCGGCCATTTTCTTCTTAGGAACACTTCTCTAGAACCTTTCTATCCACTGGTTTATGTATTTGTTTGAAAATTGGGATTATTTTTATGAGAAAATGACGGGGATGAGCTATCTCTACATAGTTCATTATTGCTTCTGAGTATTTTATGTTGTGTGAAAATTTGAATATGTTCTGAATATAGAGCTGAATATAAATTCTCCTATCTGATCCTGTTAAAGTCTCTTACCAGAACAGGGAAATCACAACTGACAAATGTTACTTTGTATGATTTACAAAGACACATACACAAAAAAAGGCCTAGAGTAAAAATAACTTAACACACAGAAAAGCGTACACTCAAGAGTACAACAACAAACATAAGACGTAAATAAAAACTCACGATTTGTTATATAAAAAAACAGTACTTATCTTTTATTGCAGCGTTGATAGGGAGCGGACCGGGGTTACAGAGGAGACCACCAAACACGGACACAGAGAACGCTCTCAGCGTCTCCACACAACTCACTCGTGGGAAAGAGTCTTCGCATACATATGGTCTTCCCTAATATATACAAACATGGTCACATTTGTCCAATGACGTGGGAGATCGGTTCACTTAACAAACAAACATCATCCCTCCAAAGAATGAGAAGCTTAAAACTGCTTTTGTTTGTAAATATAATTTGACACAACACAACCATTTATTTAGACAATTGACAATTTAAAAGCCTTCATTGACAATCCGTCAACGATTAATGATTAAAAAATGAATAAATTTCTACAATGAGTGATCGATTTATTTATTTATAATCGCTATCATAAAGATGGTAAAAAATATTGTATAATAAAGAAGAGATAAACATATGGTGTTGTATAATAAACATTATAACTGTACATTCTTAGCCAATAGATTATATTTCACTTGGGAGAATCCAATTCCAATCTAAGAACAGAAACCCAATTCAAAATGATCGAATAGATAATCAACCTAATGTATTTTGTTTGGTTTCAGATAACTACTTGTTTAATAAATACATTTTTTTTTATATTTAAATTTTAATTCCCCCTTTATAAAAGTACCAAATTCGCTTTGGGATTGAAATTCGTTCTCTGATGATCTAAGTGATTTGGGTTATGGCCAATTTCATTATAAGTAATATTTTAGGTCTAATTTTGTTTCTTGTAATATGAGATTTTGTTTTTTTCTTACCTGAAATTTTCTCTTAATCCGATTATATTGTATCGAATTCCTCCCCCTCGACTGTATAAGCTTCTAACAGCATGAGCAGCCACAAGATGCAACCATTTACTCAATAGTCTACTTCTTCACTGTGTTCTATGAAAGAAAAACGATATATATAGTCTTAACTTTTGTACATAGATATTCTTTCCTTTTCTTCTTCTTCTCTTTTCTGAGCGAGGATTCAGTTTCTTCCCCCGCTTCTCATTTATTTTTAGATCCATTTCTAACAAGAGAATCGTCTGTATAAGACGGAATGTCTTAATAAAGGCTTGTGTGTGTGCTTCTAACAGCATGAAAACAGTTTCAATTTTCACCTATATATGGTGTTCTAAAAAAAAACAACTCGTATTATAATATATTACTATATTTAACCAAATATATTGAAGATTACAATGTTATATTGAGTAGATTGAATAGTATTTGAATAAGGAATGAATGGGCCACAACAACAACAAATAGTTTCAAAAATGAGAGAACCATGTAACAAAGAAGAACCAATTATAAGGTATTGGGTGTCAAGAAGATTGAAAAAAAAAAAGAAAGAAAGTTGAAGACTGATGGCAATTAGAGGAACCTGAGACAATCGGTGCTGTAGGGAGGGGCAGGAAAGGGGACGCTTGGCGATTTTGCGTGTCATCTTTGCTCAGGGGTTTGGCCTTCTCTGCATTGTTATTGTAGTAGCATGCTATACTGCCCAACTATAGTAGTATTACAGGGACGGGATAATAGTTTCTGTATCCTTCTACAATAGTAGTATTTGTACCGCCGAACTATAGAGTAGTATAAGGCTGTCCGGGGGTCGGTGGAAGGCTGGTTAAACCGTTTGGTTTTCGACCACTACGACCCGGGTTCGATTCCCGTATTGGACACTTTTTTCTGTTTAAAAAAAAAATGCTCCAATGGCCCCCGATTCTTGCAAAAGTCCAACCCCACCAGCGAGTGCAAGTAACCAAACGGGGCTCTGGCACATTTGTAAGTGCAAAGTCGAACTGCTTTTCACATGTGTAGACATGTGGTGCGCTTACAGTAAAAGCAGTCGCTAACTACCCACCATGATTATCATGGCCTGTACCAGGTGTACTAGGGATAAGCTAAAAAAAAAATAATAATAATAAGGCTGTCCCAAAAGTTCGTGCTTTTCTTAAAACGCTGTTTTTCTTATTATTTGGCGTATAATATTATTACGGCGAATACATGATAATACATTATACAATTACTTTATATACAAAGACATTATATATAACGGAGAATAATATTATGGCGAATAATATTGTAACATAGTATTTATTAATTTTATTTATGTAACATAGTATTTGTTAATTTTATTAATTTTATTTATGTAACATAGTATTTGTTAATTTTATTAATTTTATTTATGTAACATAGTATTTGTTAATTTTATTATTTTTTATTAACAGAGTGGTAATTTTTATGTTTATATCTTGCGACTCTGTAAATTTCCCTCGTGGCTTATCTTTTGTTTACAATTCATAGTTTGTCCTTCCCTGAAATAAATTGTTGTCTCCTCCTGAAGTTTTTGTCTTCCCTAATTTTCCACGTGGCAATATTATCGTAAGGATAGAAGCTGCCTGGCAGGCATTCATATTTCTTTAAAAATAGACACTTCGGCTTGTTAAAGTTCTGACAACTGGTAATTGTTCTGAGACAATTTTTAACGCCTTGCCAAATGCTTTATCTTTATTTATTTCTCCTGACAAGAACAAAAGATTTTTGTTCAAACGTTAAGAAAATAAAACTTTAACTGGCCGAAGCGAATAATATTGGTATCTCAAATTTTTTGCAAGTGTTTACGAACTCTTGGGACAAACTTGTTTTATAGGGCCAGGCTAATATTTTCTGTATCCCACCTATTGTAGTAGTTGTACCGCCGATGTCGCAACCTTGAGTACCTGACAAGCGGCCCTCACGTCTCCCGGCGGAATACATAATCACCCCACATCACTGATATGTAGTCAGATAAGCTGGAAGGTCATCTGTGTGGGCAGAACATACTTCTGGTACCAGTGAAGAATTCGCCTTTCCTTTACAGTTTGATAAGAACTCACTGGCTTAACGGTCGCCGAGATGTTCGAGCTCAAGACAGAGATGGCTGGCGTCGCATCGTGTTTGAGATGTAATACATACAAATGGCCACAACGTTCGATCGCGAATAAAATTATATTACTATTACAATTTTCAAATTATTTGAGGTTAGGATTTCTGTTTGCCTGACATTTTAATTTGTTATAACACAGCAATTTCTTCCTAGATAGATGAAGCATCTTTAAAACAGATTCAATAGAATTCAGAACTTTCCCAATAAGTTGGAATTCTAGCTACGTCTCTAATGAAGAAAGGCATTTATACATTGTTGATTTCTTCTAATTAGCACCTAAATAAGTCTAAATATTTTATAATTCATAAAATGTCTTCTAATTAAGATAATATCGATCATTTCAGCTACTAACTTACGCCAGACGATACCTGAGAAGCCAGCTAAAAGTTTGTGTATAGTCAAATGTTACTCGAATTATTTCACAGACAAAAACCCCTTTATTAAGACATATTCTCATACAGGGATTTACCACTAAGTCTTAAAAAGAAAAGATTTTTTAAAAAGTCTTTCGGAATTATATTGTGTGCTTCTACATGTGTGTCTGTTTTATTTGTCAGTTGATTGGCTCTCTCATTTGAGAGAAAAAAATTCATCCAGGGATAAGTGTCTTGAAAAAAATATAATTTAATTGACTCTAGCTTTCGGGCCTTGGAGCCCTTCTACAGGAAATGTTATAATTAGCCTTACTTTATTTTATTTCAATTTAAAGCGCTATGTCCCCCTAGGTACACTTGCGCTGTCATACATGTGTGCCTTTACATTTGTCTATACATATACAGTTAAACCTGTCTATAGCGCCCTCTCTAAATAGCGCCTTCCTCTCTATAGAAGCCGATTTTAAACATTGAAATGTAAACATTTTACATTAAAAGTGACCTGTCTATAGCACCCCCTCTCTATATCACCCTATTTTGGTGAGTCCCAAGAGGGGGCGCTATAGACAGGTTTAACTGTATATACCTTTTTTTTTTTTTTTAGGCCGTAGATAGAATAGTCATATGATAAAATTAACCTTACTCCTGTAGTAAGGTGTTAAGGCCCGAAAGCTCGTGGTAATTAAAATATATTTTCATAAATTGAAGCACCACAAAGCCCACGAATGTTTCTTTTTAAATATAAAACAAACTTCTATTGTCCTTACTGCAATGAAAAAAAATACGATATTTATATGTAATTCTACTGTTTTAAAATCTTATGTCCATAGTTTGCTTGGAAACCATTTCTAAGATTCCACCCTTCATTGCAGCATATATAAGTAGAATCGTCAAATACAATATTAGAGCTCTAAGAAGCGGTATGGTAGATTAAATTGGTGAAACCGCTGGGAGGGTTCACCACTGATGAGCCAAACTCTCCCAATATTTTTTCATCGCATTAAGAATAGTAGAAGTTTGGTTTATATTAAAAAAAGAAACATTCGTGCTTTGATGCTTCCATTTCTTATATATAGATTGCACGTTTTCTCAATGGCTTTATAAATAATTATATTTTTGAAAGATACTCTTCCTAAGTTGTAGTTTTTTTCTCAAATGATATTACACTAGGGATTATTATTTTGGGAATTGATTGGTTCTCTACTAAAATATAACCTTAATTAATCAATCCTCAGTTCATTAGCCAATTAATGTATAAATATTATTTAGCTCAATGATACAAGGACGTCTGCCAAGACTATAGGTACTTCCTCTCGGCGTGGAACTGAGGAATGTTCAAGAAGACCTTGTCTGGAGGAGGACTCTCTCAAGGTGGGGAAGACTTCCTTGCTGAAGAAATTTGTACACATACACAACTATATATATTCCTCTAAATTTTATCTACCCTTTATTTACTATCTTATTATATATTTTTTCACCTTTGTAACAATTGAGAAAAATAATCAATATAATTGTTTAAATTGTCATTTGTCAATGGTACAAAGGTCACTCCAAAAGTTTTTGCAATCAATATTAAATAATTTTAAAATATTAAAAAAATAAATTATACCATTAAAATCTACATCCATTTTTTAGCACATATGCAAGATTTCATCCGTGAAAACCAATTATCAAAGCACTTACACCAGTCATCTTCGGGGATGGAATCTACGGCATTGATAAAGGCTTACAGTGTTTCATCATTAGTGTCAAATTTAATCCCTTTCAACAACAACTTAATTTTTAGAAATATAAAAAAGTTACAAGGTGCTAGTTCTGGTGAACATGGTGGATGAGTGACTAATTAAACACCATAGTTGGCTAAAAAGCTTGTAGCTTTGAAGAACGAAGCACTGTATTAAATATAAGATCGAGGTTTCAATTCTGAGAATTTTTTTTTTGTTGTTGACACTAAACATATTTTATTTTAGTCATTCCAATTGTATGTTTTAAAAACAAAGGCTTTTTTTTCTTTGTCTTATATCAATTTCATTTTTTTTATATATAGCAAAAAAAAAAATTATATTGACAATTTTTTTTTATTTTACCTGAAAGTTTATTTACTTTTATTTTTACAAAAATAATGTATCTTTTCCCAGCACCTGTTGAATTATTTCCGTTTTATTAACTCTTCTTATCTAATCAATACCTGTCTCTGGATGTACACTACCTAATACATTTCAAATTTATTACAGACCACTCTTATACAAGAAGCTCTTCTCCCCAACTTGTGTTTAATCTTCTATAGGGAATAGAGAGATTTTCGTGACCTAATTCTTGTGTTATCATTCTTGGGAGTGTTGTCAGAAGATATGTGGCAGCAAGTGTAATCTCTGTGTGTTCTTCCTCCAATTGGAAATGGCTGCCCTTTGGTTCCCCCGTCTCTCTCTTCATTACAAATAATTTCCTCGTGCCGCCACCGCCGACTTTAGCAAGATGGAGTTTGGAAACTGGGTTGGGCAACACTTCATTTGTTGTCTTATCTTCTTCCTCAGCTCTTATCTTCATTTCTGAGCTTCTACCTGAATTACTGCTCTTACCTGTGAGATACCTGAATTACTGCTCTGTACTTGGGCTACTACCTGAATTACTGATCCGTACTTGTGCTACTACCTGAATTACTGCTCCGTACTTGTGTTACTACCTGAATTACTTCTCCGTACTTGTATTACTACCTGAATTACTGCTCCGTACTTGTGTTACTACCTGAATTACGGCTCCGTACTTGTGCTACTACCTGAATTACTGCTTCGTCTCCCTCAGTTCCTACA